CATTGAAGGAAACCCAGCAAATGACCTAAAGAATAAAAGCTCAAAAAATTAAACAGAAGATACCTTAGAGCAATTTATGAGAGAAAATAATCAATATAGAAAATAGACAAGGAAGCCTGGATAGTTCAATTGATAAGACTTTAGACTCTGAATCTGAGAAAACAGACAATAAAGATTCATCTACGTATTTCTGGAGTCCCCAAAGCAGTCAACTAAATAACAGTACACAGTAAATGTGGAAGGGCTGAATTCATAAAGACTTTAGGAGATAGAATGATCTTGTTTCTACATATTTATTTAAAGATGAAGAAAAGAATCTTTTGGTAGCTCAGGTAATCTTTAGATCATATAAAAGACAAAGAAAAGCATAGACTTAGGTTAATTCAAATAAACTTCCAATGCCATTGTACATTTTATAAGCTCCTCAGAGATCTAGAACTGAGGATTTTTATACCCAGCCCAATTGTCCACAGCCCTTAAATTATGAAGAGTATAGGCAAGCACTGATGAATATGTGTGGGCTATAGATCAATGGTTAATTAAGAAAATGAAGGCATCTTTTTTTTTTAAAAGAAAATGAAGGCAAGCACATCACAAATCTAAAAGTAGCATTATTATATTCAAGAACAAAAGAAATATAATGCTTTAACTTTTTGAATGGATACAACCAATATAAACTGTGAGGGGTGAAATATTTGCTATCAGTCTCAACCTAACTGAAAATAACACATGTATTTTAAAGCTGACAATTAAAGTAATTTTAGTGTATGCCCATGTTGGTTCATTCTGGTCGTCAGCTTGGTGGGATCTGAGTCAAGTGAGAGACATACCTTTTGCGGGTCTGTGAGAGTATTTCCTGGAAGGATGAACCAAAAGAGGAGAGTCTCTGCCTGACTGGAGACCCAGACACAGAGGCCTGAGGGAAAATCAGGGCTTCTTTTGCCTGACTGCCCTTACTCCCTGCTAGTGAATGTATCTACTGTGTTGCTGCTGACGTCATCCTTCATTGATATCAGAACAGTTTCTTCGCCTTCCAATGTGGACTGCATGCCAGCAGCTCCCCAGGAATATTCCAAGCCTTTAGTGCCAGATTGGAACTACAGAGGCCTCCAGCCTTGCAAGCTCACCAAGTACTTGGTTTCCATCTTCTCCAGGGCACAGATAAGCATTTTTGGAGTAACCAGCCCATATTGTGTAAGACACAGTAATACATCCTCTTTGTGATATTCATTTGTTCTATCAGTTCTGTTCCTCTGGAGAACCCTGACTAACCCTGTGCTGATTCATTTTTGTCAACTTGACACAAACCTTGGAAGAGAGACTTTTAATTGAGATAAAATCTTCCATAAGATCAGCCTGTAGGGTATTGTCTACTGGGAATTGTCTTGATTGATGATTGATGTGGGAGTACCCAGCTCACTGTGGCTAGATGGTGCCACCCCTGGAGTTGTATAAGAAAGCAGGCTGAGCAAGACATTGGTAGCAAGCCAGTAAGCACTGTTCCTGCCTGGCCTCTGCATCAAGTTTCTCCTTCTAGGTTCCTGTCCTGACTTCCCTCAGGGATGGACTATAATCTGTGAAGTGAAATAAACCCTTTCCTCCCCAGGGCTTTTGGTCATGGTGTTTTATTACAGCAGTAGAAACCCTAACTAAGACAAACATAATGCCTATTTTTTTTGTCTTCCTCATCTCAGATGTTGCTTTTTAACAGCTGAGAGTTGTAAGTTTAAAGGGTAATATGACAGAAACTGAGGGTAGAAGGAAGGAGGGGGAAGGGAAAGACACACATGGCTTTATTTTATGTTAGAGAGGACTAATGATGCTCTCTAGATAATAAAGTCACACGAAGTTAATGATAAATTTAACACTAAAACAAAACTTCACAATTTTGTGAAGTAAAACAACTTCACAAAATTAACAAGGCAAAGCAGAGGGCCAAAGAACAGAAAATAACCGAAAGACTAAAGGACACTCAGCGGCCAACGTCAAGCACATCATTCATAAAACATGAAAAGACTAAAGCCATACATTAAGAGAAATGGGGCAAAATCCCATGCAGCCCAGCAGAGACAAGACTAGAGAAAAGCCACTCACATCGGTTGAAATATAAGTTCTGGCAGGGGTCCATCAGTCCCAGCACAGGCACAAAGGGACCAGAGGCCAGAAGCTTCAGGTGAGCCCGAGACAGGCACATAACAATGAAGGCTGGAACTGCAATGGACATATTTATGAGTTGTCTAGAGCTGTCTATCACATTGCCCCCAAACTTAGCAGCTCTGGACAAGGAACCTTTGTTCTGGATGAGGATTCTTGTGGGTGGCAGCCTAGTTTTGGGGTTGCTGCTTGCTCAGGGGTTTTAAGAAAGTTGCTGGCCTGGGGCTACTGGAAACTAAGATTTTACTGAGACTGTCAGTTTGTTCTGTGCTCACTCATCTGATGGGAGGGAAAGTGGGTGGCAGAGGGAGGGAGCTCATGGTGAAAGCTGTGATGTCTTATGTCACCTAATCTCGGAAGTGTTATATTCACTGTTGCTGCTATGTTCTAGAGGCCATATAGGTAGAAACAGAAGGAGTCACACAGGATTGTGAATACCAGGTAGCAGGAGTCACTGTCCACAATAGTTCTGGGCATAAAACAACACAGTATTTCACAAAATCAAAACCACTGGAGATACAGGGGAGATGAGCTACAAACAAACTAGTACTCGTGGAACAGACACTGAATTAGCAATACTAGAAATATTGCTAACAGAGTTAGTACATTAGAAGACAAATGGGTAAGAAAGAATTAAGGATAGAAAAGACCAAATATAACTTTGAGATCTATGCTGAGGAACGGGTAATCCACCTTTTAAAAACAGCTACCTATAAAAAGAATTTTCATGGGAATTAATACTCTGCCCAGCAAGATGGCTCAGTGAGTAAAATCATTTGTCAAGGAAGCCTCAGGACCTGAGTTTAATCACACAGCTCACAGTGGAAGAAGAAAACCAGTTCCTGCAAGTTGTCTTCTGACATCCACAGGTACACTGAGCAAGCGCATCACACGCGCGCACGCGCGAAAAGGGAGATCTGACTGCATGTGTCTGTACCGCAGCCTTGGGATGGCGGCTCACTGCCCAGTCACGCTAACTGAACTGCTGCTTTCCAGGTTCAGCGAAAGAAAGATACTGTTTAGATAAATAAACAAGCAAACAAGTAAGCAAGGTAGAGGGGACTGGGAGATTGCCCAGCTGCCAAAGCACTTGCTGCTCTTGCAGAGTACCCCAGTTTGTTCCCCAACACTGTGTCTGGTGGCATAGTGCAAGTCTAGGGGATCTGACACCCTCATTTGGCCTTTTGAGCACCTGCATCTATGTGCACACTTAGCTACACACACACATCAAAACACACACACAGCTCACACCACACGTGTGTGCGCGCACACACACATTAAAAACCTAAGAGAACCTAAATGACCTACAGCAAAATAATCAACAAGAATAAGCTCATTTTAGTGAGATGATTAAATGAAATTGCTAATAAATATAAATAAATACTTCATGTATAGATATTAGTACTTCGGAAGATATGATGAGAAAAGCATCCTATTTGCAGAAGCAATGGCAATCTGCAGTAACAAAGCAGCTTAGAGTGAAGTCACACATTGGAGAAAATGCTGGAACCCTCCTCACAGACACAAAGGGAAACCTGGAGAAATGGAAAGACCATGTTTTTGGCCAAAGACTCAACATCATAAAGCTGTCAATTCTCCCTAAGTACGTTTCTAAATTTAATGTGATCCCAATAAAATACCAACAGTTTTTTTTAAGCCAGACAAGCTGAATTCTAAAGTTCATGTGAAAAAAAATAAAGAAATAAAAACATTCAGAAAAACTCTGAAAAGAAGAGTAATATCAGTGAATTCACTCAAGCAGATACTAAAACATATTAAAAGTCTCAATAATTGAAACCATGAGGAACTGATGCATGAAGAGAGAGAGAGACAGGCCCATCAGCCATAATACAAAGCCCAGAAATGGAAGCAAAAACGCACATGAGAGATTAGCACACAAAAAGAGTGGCCACTAAAATCAGTGAGAGAAATGATTAACTGTTCAATAAATGTGGTTAGGGTCACTCTTTGGTCATGTGAAAAAAAAAAGATAAAGTTAGAGTCAAACTTACTATTGTCTATCAGGACAAATTCCAAGTGGATTGAAGACTGAAAAGCAAAAACTATGCCACAACTGTGCTAGAAGAAAACATGAGAAAAATCTTTCTTTTATAAACTCAAAGTAGAGAAGCTCTTTCAAAATGATGACTCAAGAAAAGAGGACATCAGAAGGAAAAAATAAAGAAATTAAGCTACATTAAGGAACACTGTATACCAAAACATCTGAACAGTAACAATTGGGGGATAATCCCACACTCAAATGTTGTCAAATGATTGATTTCTCTGATTTATGAAGTGGTTTTAGAATCAACAAGATAACGTAGCAAGAACCCAGTAGAGAAATGGGCAAAGAAGAGTAGCAAGCATTCGGAAAAGGATCTGCCTGCATGATCATAGAAATGCAGATTAAGACTATGCAGAGATCCATGTTTCAAGTGACTGTTTCAAGAGTCTGAGGATGTATCTTCTCTGCTAGGCTGAGGAAATGATGCCAAGAGGTTGTTGTAATGGATAATATTGCCTGTCAACCTGATAGGACCTAGAATTACCTAGGGGACAAACCTCTGGACACATAGGAGAGAAAGTTTTTAGGCTGAGCTCTGTGATGTGGGAAGAGTCGCGGTGTGGTGGTTTGAATGAGAATGGCCTCCATAGGCTCGTATGTTTGAATGCTTGGTCCTCAGTTAGTGGAGATGCTTGGGAAGGATTAGAAGGTATGGCCTTGGAGGTGGTGAGGCCTGGTTAGAGGAGGTATGGCCTCACTGGAGCAGGTATAGCACTGTGGGTAGGATTTAAGGTTACAAAAGCCCAGGCCAGACCCTGTCTCACTTGCTCTCTTTCTGCAGCTTATGGATCAGATGTGAATTATCAGCTACTTCTCCAGTGCTACACCTGCCTGCCTGCCTGATGCTAGGCTTCCTGCCGTGATGTTCATGGACTAACTCTCTGAACTGTAAGCAAGTCCACAATTATACACCTTCCTTTGTAAGATGGCTTAGTCATGGTATCGTCTCACAGCAACGTAACAGTAACTAAGGCAGTTTCTACCTTTTTATTTGGCTGTGTATAGATACATTGCATCACTTGTTCAGTAATTAAGTACTTTATTTTAACTGAAAAAAATGTTATATAGTGTGTTCTGATCGCACTCCCCAATTCCTCCCAGATCCTCCACACCCACCCTATTCCATGCCATTTCTTTCTCTCTTTAAAAAAAAAACAAGTATTTTATTTAAAAAATCATTATTATAGTGCTTATGTGTATTGTGCATGCTGTGTACGTGTGCGAGAGAGAGTCTGAGGTGTGTTGCTGAGGATAGTGTGCATGTCAGGAACATGTGTGGAAGTCAGAAGACAACTATTAAGGGATAATTCTTTCCATCCACCATGTGGGTTCTGGGGTTCAAATTTAAATGCTGGGCTTGCCAGGTAAGCTGAGCTGTATCGGCACTTCCAGTAATTAAATTCTTTAATATGGACATATATGGAAATTTAAATATGACAGGTGACGCGCCCACCCAATGGAAAGTAATGGGCGGTGCAATCAGTTCAACTGGGATAAAGCAATCTAAATGGAAAGTAAAACTGTGCTAACTCACTCTGCATGAGCTCAAGCATCCTTTACAACAAGGAAGTGGAAAATGCCATATAATTCTCTCTTTTAGCTTTACAGCAGTGACAGAAACTATAAATTATCAAGCCACTAAGTATTTAAGAATGAGACCCTGGAGTAGAGCACTTGTCTAGCATATGTGAGGCCCTGGGTTTGACTCCAACACTGCCCCTATCCCAAAACATAAGAACTTTATGAGGAAAATGTAAAGCTTCCACGGAAGAACTAAAGACTTAACCAAGGATAGAAACCTCGTTTGATACACAGGTGTTAGTTTATAAACTCCAAGTGCTGTGGAGTCAGATGGTCCTCTCCTCCAAGCTTTGATGGGCACAAGCGGAGCTTGCTTAGCTCTAGGAGATAAATGTCTGGTGTACCGAGGGTATCATGTCACTTGCCCTTCCAAGGATCTCATGTCTCTCCAGTGATGTCCAGTTCCCTACAGACCACACCTGCTTGTGGCCTTGTGATCTCTCCTCTTGCTGTTCCCAATGGTAACCCTTTCTTCTTCCTCTCCTAAGGTGCTTATCATGTGAGAACACACCACACCCAAGCAACTCTTTGCAAATGCTGTCCCTCTGCGGGCCCTTTCTCCTGCTCCTGTTTGGATGATGGAGTGAAAGACCACGTCCTTCAAGAAACGCTCCAGAATCTCAACACATAGGACTTACTTCCACATAGGACTTTCTCACATTCACCCCCCCACACACACCCTCTTTACCCATTTCTGCATCTCGTACTCCTCCCTAAACTCTAACTTCCTTGGGAAGAGTGGATCTAAAGTATTAGGGTGTTTCTAGGGCTCTTCCCAGGGCCAGGCCCAACGCTGCTCTTCTATAGCTGATGAATGACTGAATGGCACAACATCAGGGTCCTGGTGCGTGGGTTGAAATCCCAGTTACTGCATTTGCTTCATGTGACAAAGCACAAAAATGTTTCTCTTCCATGTTTCTTCATCTGTGAAATGAGGCTGAAGAAGAGAGCCTGCTGCATGGCATTGTCCTGAAGACTCAGAGTCCATACACCAAGTGCTTAACTTGGTGTAGAGATTATGGTAAGCGGTGCTGAAATATTACTTATGATTGCAGCTAAATCATTTAGTCATGTATCCATCTGTATATCACACACACACACCCTTAAACATTTTCATCTAGTGTTTTTTTCTGTGCCAGGTTTTGGGTTGGGTACTGGAGCCATGGACGTAAACTAGACAAAAGTTGTCCTTATTGTGGGTAGGCCCCGGGAGGACAAGAGCAGGTGTCCAGGAAGGGTGGTGTTCAGAGGGTCTTGGCTCAGGGCTGGTAGACAGGAACCCCTGACTGGGGACATATTCCTCTTCTCTCTGAACTCATCAGGAACAAAGCCAGTTAAGGGCGGGGACCCATGTCAATATGGGCAGAGCTGGAACGCTCTGTCAGCCTTCATTGACAGAGGAGCCTTCGGTTTTTCATTGACCAATGCTGCATTTCATTGAGCAGAAGCTTCCTGTTAAATCAAAACAGATGAGGTTTTAAAAATAATTCTAATTGATTCCATCCCAGGAGTGCAAATCAGTAGCCCTTGGGCTCAGCTAAGATGGGAGAGCTGTGTGCAGGTGGATCCACATACTCCTAAATGTGAGCATGTGCTAATGCAGGGGTGTGTGTGTGTGTGTGTGTGTGTGTACAGATAGTCATCCTGTTCAATGACCAGACTCTGACACTGCACTTGTCCCAGTCCTCCAGACTTTCCCTAGGGGACCCGTTCATCTTCATGATGCCCTCATTAGAATTATTTCAGAATGAAAGCTGGGTCTGAGGAGCAAAAAGCTTAGCATCCAAGGAAGCCCTAAGTGGCAGAGCTGGGCTCCATTGCCACATGTCCTCACTGTGAAGCCTCAGTTTCCAGCAGTTCAAAGTGGGAACAAGGCCACAGGGCAAAGTCACAGAGACCCTCTAATCATCAGGCAAGTGACCTAAGAAGCTTCAACAAATAAGAGCAATGACAGATGTCACCCGGTGAACAAAGCACAAGCCCAGTGTCACCAGTGATGCATATTAAACCCTCACACTATTTAAATGAGATAAGTATTCTTTTTGGGTTTGAATGAGGGAAGTGAGATTGTCCACGTGTGTCACTAATAAAAAAAATGAATATTTTCTACTTCTAACTTCTTGTTTCTTTAGAGATATTCACATATTATATGCACACGACGTAGGCAGGGGAGGTGGCAGTGGTCTTGCCTCAGAAGACTGGATTTAGGTCTTGAGTTGTGAGCTGAGAGCACATCCATCCATCTGTCCCTCTGTCCATTCATCCATCCATCCATCCATCCATCCATCCATCCATCCATCCACCCATTTGTTCTCTCAACTTTTGCCCTACGAACAACCTTGTTTTATGATGCTGGACAGGATATCAGAGCAGACAAGAAAAGTCATCTCTACCAGAGGTCAGCATTATGCCCTGGACAGCAGGAGGGCTCTGGCGGGCGGGACAGTAACTATCATGGCAGTGGAATTAGGGAAATCGAGTCTTTCCCAAGCTAAAAGCACTGTTCACATTATAGTCTCTGGAGGAGTGTTCCAAGTAGAGGGGCAAGAAAAGGTTCTGGGGCTGGGGCAGCCTTGGCGAATGTGAAATCTGGAAGGAAGCTGAAGGTGATTACTGTGTGGGAGATGAGAGATGAGGTCTGTGGAGCTGGTGCCTGGGCTAGCAAGGCCTTCAAGACCGGCATAGAAATTAGATTCCCTTCCATTACAGTGGAGTCGGTGGAAGGTGTCAGGCAGTGTGAATTGATCTGATCTATATCATAAGACTTGCGCTAGCCACAGAGTGGAGAATGTTGCAGGAGGAGCTGGGACAAAATGCAGAGCAAGCTGCTGAGGTGACTACAGAGTCTAGGAGAAGGGTGGCACGGTCTGAATTAAAATATCAGTAGAGGGGATTGGAGGGGTAGATAGATTTAGGGCATTTTTTTTTTTAATTTAGAAACAGTGCTTTTTTAATGCACTAGAAGAGAGGCATGAGAGATGGGGTGAAAGATAAAACGCTAGGATTCAGAATACGAGGAAGGAGTGTGATGTGGTGTGGTATGGTGTGTGTGTGTGCGTGTGTGTGTGTGTGTGTGTGTGTGTGTGTGTGTGTGTGTTGGGGTGCTAAATCTCGAGGTGGAGGATATAGCAGACACTAATAAGATGCCTATGTTAACACATACAGAGTTCACACCTGTGGTTTTGGACTTCAGAATCAATGACATGAGAGAAGATGGAGAGCCAGAGATGAGCTGAGGGCATTTAAAGCAGGGTAGGGCACAAGATAAAAATAAGCCAGTACTCAGTGTGTGTCTGGGTCACTTAAAGGTCTTTTCAAAACTTTGAAGTCCAAAGTCCATGTCCAGGTGGATTTTGTTTTTGATGGCAGCCACAGGGAAAGCAGCAGGACTCTAGGGAGACTGGTATTGAGCCCTTCTCTCTCTCCTGATTTTTTTTTTTTTTTTTTTTTTAGCTTTAGTGACTGCTGTCCTCCATGCAATTGACCAATAATGCTGTTCCTGAGGAGATGCTATATATACATCCCCATATACTCACCCCAGATAGGGATCCCACAACAGACCAAAGTACGAAAACCACCAAAGCCCACAACTTGGTGAACCAATGAGAAACAAGATTTTTTTTTTTTTTCCAAGACAGGGTTTCTCTGTACAGTCCTGGCCGTCCTGTCCTGGGACTCATTCTGTAGATCAGGCTTTATCTGAACTCAGAGATCCTCCTGCCTTTGCCTCCTGGATGCTGGGATTAAAGGTGTGCACCACCATCACTCGGTGAACCAGTGAGTATATTGGGGTTATTTACAGTGGCAGAAATGGTTCAAAGACAGCCTCATTACTGAGGCCTATCCCAGCATGGGTAACAGTTCACAAAATCTGGGAAACCTGGAGCACACTGCACAGCTTTGAGACAGCTGAACAGGTTGGGGAATGTCCTTTACAACTGACCCTGGTCTAAACCTCTTCAGGCAGCTCCGTTGGTTTCTGCTTCTCCCAGGCAACTGGTCTGGTCTCAGAGTCTTCTGCCTAGATTGTCTGAAGAGTCTTCTTTGCAGCTTGGCTCTGCTTACTCCGGCAGGTAATGCAGGTGGAGCTAGTGAATCTGGTTGGTCTCAGGGACTTCCTGAACCTATTTTCAATTGTTTGCCTTCCTGCTTAAGGGGCTTCCCCGTAGACTGGAATGTTTCAGTCCTGGGAGGAAACTGTTACAGAACAATCGCTCATCACAGAAGAGAATGTGTGATGGTTAACACTCACTGATTATCAACTTGATTTCTTCTACCGGCGACCAGCCTCTGGGAACACCCAGGAAGGATTATCTATATCAGGTTTAGTCTTCGGTCAGGTCTGTGGCTGATTCTCTAGATTAGGTTAACGGAGGTGAGAAGAATCACCCTGAACGTGGGTGGCCCCGTTGCACCTGCTGGGGTTACCAGCTGCGTAAAAAGAGGGAAAAATAGCTGAGTAGAATCATTCCCTTTGTTTTGCTTCCTGACTTCAAACGCAGTGTGACCAGTGTCCTAACACTCCCGTTACCATGGTTTCCCTGCAACGATGGGCTGTAACCGCAAACTGTGAGCCAAAACAAATCTTTCCTTTTTTTTTTTCAATTTTTCTTTATTAGTATATTTTAATCACAGCAACTTAAAAAAGTAACTGCAGGCCAGGAGGTGTTTTGGGGTAAGTGTGCTTTGGGATGTCTTTGGGGAAGGAACAAGATGGTTCAGCACATTTGATGTTCTCGCCCCAAATATTTTTCTCCCTTTTGGAAGACGGTACTCACGGGAGATACCAACATCCTTAAGTCACCTCCTGGAAAGACTCTGGTACCAGGGTCTCCCAGCAGTGAACCCACTCCTAGCTGCTCCCTGGCTGGAGGACGAGGTGCTCATTTGATTACTCAGGGTGTAATGAGGTGGTCGTGAGTAGCCCAATACCTCCTGTTCCTCGGGGTCACCCACGCTGCTTACAGAGGTCAACTGTCCGCTCTACCCGACACCCCTCTTCACACAGGAATGCCAAACCTCCAGCCCGAGGCCTTCTTTTCTTTCCTCTTGTGTCTTTCTCCCTAGAGATGTGAATCAATTGTCCAGAGAGACATACCTAGAATTTCTGTTGTCCTGTGCCTGCTGTGGGCAGGAAAGGCTCTGGGGAGCTGAAACTTATCACATGAGAATCAGCCAGGAACAAATCTGAGAGGCTGTTGGACCCAAATGTGAAGTGTAGACCAGGATCATTTCTGTGGTTGGGTAGGCTAAATAGGAGACTGCTCCATGTGGATAGAAACAACTCCTCCCATCTGGGCCCCGAGGCCCCCATCTCTTCTGTAGAGTAAGCATCTCCACCAGGGACTCCAAGGCAACAAACACAGTCCCAGCTAAGCCCTGTTCTTTCCCAAGCGACTGCTCAAAGCAATAACAGGGATGTTCCTTCAGCCTCTTCCGAGAGTGAAAGTGCAACGAGGGCAGCAAGGATGCCAACTCTGCTCACTTCCCAAGTTGGGTGCTATGAAAAGCTAACATAGATACGGGCTATGAAAGAAACTGGAAGATGGACCGGCTGTGCAGGCTCTTAAGTAGCATTGGTCTGTGGAACAAATTGAAGCTGTTAGGTCTCCTCAGGACACCCGGAACCGCTCAGTTCGCTTCCAGCCCCCCTGGGTCTGGTCCTTACAAATGGTTCCAGGGTTTCTGGGAGGTCTACTAGCCTGGTTGCCCCAAATTCCAGCCCCAAGTTAGAAATCCAGGGAGCTGAAGGCATAGGCCATTTACATGGGGAAACTGTAAAGGGGAAAGATAAACGTTGGAAAATTAGCCACTGACCCGTGGGCTGAGCAGCAGGACAGGGAAATCTGAGCCGAGCTCATGGAAAATCTATAACCAGAGCAGGCCAAGCTGCACCATCCCAGAAAAGCAGATGGGGGCAGTCATAAAACGTGACCCCTCCGCGTCAGCCAGGCCAAGCTCTGCGCTATTTTTAGACGGCAGTATTATTTTAAAGCATTCCTTCTCCTTTATACGTTGCCCTTTGCCCTCGTGTGCAGATGGGCCATCGGCCTAGCTCCCCCAGATCCTACCTCCCCACTGTGGAGTGGGGTTATCTCTCTCTCCTTGTCAACCAGTATCCTTACTTGGCTCAAGGAGAGAGCACTCTTTGTTAGAACAAACTAGAACTCTCAGAACATGATTTCACCTTCACTTTTTACCCTGATAGACCCAGAAAGAACAAGCTGTGGAAGGCACATTTTCTCAGGATCTCCTACAGAAGGAGGTGCAGGCGGAGAAGAGGAGAGCCATCTTCAATCAACCAGTGATAGCCCCAGGCCAGTGTGGGCTGGGGAGGATGGAGGTGCCAGACTAGAGCCTGAAAAGGGAACAAGGGCTCCCAAGAGGAGAAAGTAGGAGCCAGTGTGTTACAGTCCAGAGAGGAGCTTGCATGCAAATACCATCAGGAGATAAACTGCACTGTGGGAAGCGGGCGGAGGTGCCAGAAGGACCTTCGCTAGTGCAGCTGGAGGTAGCTCTTATTCTGCCTGAGGGGGTCTTAAGTAGACCAATGGCTGCAGTATGTGACCAAGGTTCGCATCCAGTTTTCTTCTGTGCTCCACAGACAGTCCAGTGCCCACGCTCCTCCTGTTCCAAGCATCACATCCTCTAGAGCAAGACAAGACCTTAAAGGTCATCTAGTGCCACTCTTCTTCATTGGCTGAGAAATAAAGAGCCACAGAAGTGCTGAGAAGGACCCTATCCTGCTGGCACTTATCTCCAAAATCCTGAGTTCCAGCAGGGAGAGGCAGGAGAGACCATCCTGGTGGCCCTTGTCACTTGTCTTGGTATTCAGCCTCCTGAGGGACCTTTTGCATTCTGTTTCCTCTCATCGGTTTTAAGGGTACATTGCTAGTAAACCAGTCAAAACTTAGGTCTCTTATGGGCTGGGGTGTGTGTGTTTGGAAATGGGTTCTGAAATTATGTAATAAGGGTAGGGAGAATAATTTTCTTTTTTTTTTTTTTTCTTGAGTTTGTCTTTTGAGAGTAATGACTTGTCTGTGCCTGGCAAACTCAAGAGACGAAGGCCAGCAAGGGCCCGTTGCGGAAAGGTGAGAGGCAAACTGAGGAGAGTCCAGGACAGGAAGGAGAGAGACCTGCACAGGTGGGGTGGACAAGGGGAAGACTGTGACACGGGAGCAGAACTCTGCAGCATGCGGGGATACCTGGTCTAGGGTCATGCAGACACGTGTAAGGACTTCGGGCCCCTCCAGAAACCGGGCGCTCTTACCACTGTGTACCTGGACTGGGAGGTGGCTGTTGGTCCCTGTAGATCATGAACTATCCGAATCTTGCAAAGGCCTGATGAAAAAAAAAAAAAGTCATGTTTTGGTTATCATTGTCATTCCACCAGTATAATGGTATTCGACTTTTGACTTGCTGTGTCACAAGACCTGACATAAACACCTGGATGGCGGCAGAAGATTGACTTTAGCTTATGGTTTCGTTGCCTTTGGCCCACAGTTGTTGCTTTTACTGATCTGGACCCTGGCAAAGCAGGCACCTTGGCAGTGGGGTTTGGGGTGGGGTGGCAGGAGCACACAGGCTCCTCACAACATGGTAGACAGGGACAGAGACAAAGAAGGACCCAGAAAAAAATACAGCCCCCACAAGGACATAGCCCCACTGACTGGCTTCTTCCAGTGAGCCCCACCTCCTGAGCTCTCTGGAATCTCCCCAAGTGGCACCCCTGGCTGGGATCCAATTCCTTAATTCTTTATGGTAATAATAATCAAGCTTGGTCCCGCACCTGGGATCAATCCCAGCAAAAGAGCCTGGCCTCAGTCCCCAAGGCTCTCAGGGGCCTCCTGGTTCCGAAGCCAGTCCTGTGGATTCCTGTGGATTCTGCCTAGGCAGGTTACTCCCGTCTCCCTTGAGGAGAACCAGTCGACGGAGTCCCTGCCACATGGAGGCCCCTACCAGGGAAGAGATAATTTTGGCCTCTGTGTGGTAACTGATTGACAGCTACGTGATTACTAAGCGAAGGAGAAAGTTCTGGAAGGCAGAGGCCATGACACTAGTGAGGCAGCTGAAGCCACAAAAAAAGCGGGCCATGGGTGACTGTGCTCACATTTCTCAGTGCCTCCTTGTCTAGGAACTTGATAAGCACAGCATGGCATCCATCTGAGGACGGGCTTGCTGCCCTCATGCCAGGTTTATCAGGGAGCCAGAGGCCCAGGCAGGGTAAACAGCTGCTTCAGGGGCACACAGCTCGGAAGCAGCCAGTGTGAACTAGGTAGTCCGACTTCAGATTCATGTTCGTAAACATTTGCAAATTCCCTGGAAGAATTTTCTGGAACTAAGTGGCAGGTGAAGACTATCCGGCGTTATTGGCCTGCGGGAGGAGAGGCAGGAGTACTGGGTATCTAGCACAAAGCTTGTGCAAGTCACTCCTGGTTCTGGGAAACCTCAGGATGCAATGAGCAGGGCTCTCTGCCACCGCCCCAAGCTTCATCCCATGTCCCTGTGCTCGCCCGCTTTCTGCAGCCCACCTGTCTCAGACCACTGAGCTCTGCCTTCGAGGAGCTCTTGGCTCTGCCCATCTCCCCTGCCTCCCTCCTCCCCTGCTGCCACTTTCTGGATTCAGAGCCTTCTAGTAGGTCTTCCTCTTCAGTTCATTCCCACTGTCCGCTTCTGCACGGCTGCTAGAGGACCCTTTGCAGCCCCCAGAGCATGCCAGGTGACTTTTTGCCAGTGTCCTCTCCTCATCCTTCAACACCCCACCCAAGAGCAATGCCACTTCCAGAGAGGTCTTCTTGTCTCACTTTTAAGAGTCACCCGGGGCACTTGATAAAAAGACAGATCCCCAGCACCTGGCCAAGAATCTTGCTTCATAAGCTTCCAGAGGAAAAAATAGTTTTCCTCAATGAAATACCACTGAGTAGCTTACCCACACATAAGGATAGGCCTGGGCCCAGCCGTAGATGGCAAACACAGTACAAACTCAGTGGTATTTTTGTAGACTTTTTGTTTCATATGCTTTGTTTGGGCATTTTTTTTTTTTTTGGTCTTACTGATCTTTTGTTTGTATGTTTGTTATGTTTCCAATTATTTTTATGAGTTTTGTTTCTGTGTCTGTGTGTTTCTTTTATACCCCCATTTGCTTCCGAGAAGGGGGCATAGAGTTGGGTGGGTGAGGAGGTGGAGCGGATCTGGGAGAAATTTGGTGAAGGGAAACTGCGATCAGAAGATGTTATATGAAACTTTTTCTCTGTCTCTTTCCTTCTTTCTTTCTTTCCTTCTTTCTTTCTTTCTTTCTTTCTTTCTTTCTTTCTTTCTTTCTTTCTTTCTTTCTTTCTTTCCTCCCTCCCTCCCTCCCTCCCTCCCTCCCTCCTTCCTTCCTTCCTTTTTTTCTTTCTTTCTTTTTTTTCAATTTATTCATTTTATATCCTGATTGTAGCCCCCTCCCTCAACTCCCCCTGGTCCCACCCTTCCTCCCTCTTCCCCATTATTCCGTTCCCCTAGTCCACTGGAAGGGGGAATTCTTCTCTCCTGCCATCTGCCCATAGTTTATCAAGCCTCATCAGGACTGCCTGGATCCTCTTCCTCTGTGGCCTGGCGAAGCTGCATCGCCAGGGGGAAGTGATCAAAGAGCAGGCAACCAAGATCATGACAGAGGCAGCCCCTGTTCTCCTTACTTGGGGACCCATATAGAGCTGCCTATTGGCTACATATGAGCAGGGGGTTTAGGTCCCCTCCATGCATGGTCCTTGATTGGTGCATCAGTCTCTGCAGGACCCCCTGGGCTTAGTTTTTTAGCTTTGTTGGTCTCCTTGTGGAGCTCCTGTCCTCTCTGTGTCTTTCTATCTCCCTCCCCTCATCTTCCATAAGACTCTCTGTGCTCTGCTCAAAGTTTGGCTGTGAGTCTCAGCATCTGCTTCTATTCCCTGTTGGGTAGAGCCTTTTAGAGGACCCTCTATAGTAGGCTCCCACCCTGATCCTTCTCTTCCACCGCTTCTAGTTTCTATCCTGTTTGTTATTCTAAATGACATTTAAGCATCCTCCTTAGGGTCCTCCTTGTTGTTTAGCTTCTTCAGGCCTGTAGATTTTAGTATGGTTTTTCAACTACATAAACATATTAAAAACAGCAACGATATAAAAGAATCTCTGTCTTGGGCTATGGAGTAGGTGGGAATCTGGACTTTTAACATTGTCACAGGTGAGCCTGATGATCAAGAAAGCTTGTTGTCTTCTGGTCTACAAGATAAAATCTAGGCTGCTCAGGCAGGCCCATAAGATCTTCGAGAGAGCAGTCCCAGCTCACTGGGCCATGAATGGATGGCACTCTTGGAGCCAACTCTGTTTCTTTAAGCCAGTCTGCTGCCTACAGCCTGACCTGTCCACATAGTATCCAGCCACTCGTCTCCGTTTCTGCTGGCTCCATCATTGTGGTGTCATGTTTCCTCCCTTTATTCTCCTTCCCTATTGCTGCTGCTGCTGACACAGTCTCATCTAGATTGGAGCCCTCATAGCCATGGCTCCCTTAGAGTTGTATAATCCCAGAGCTGAAGGAAACCTGGGGAATCTCACTAACATCTTTATTTGACAAACATTCCCAGAGAGAAGAATAGACTTACTCAGGGTTCTGTGGCAGAGCCAGAGTATGCAGATCTGAGTGGGAACATTCTTACTTAGGTCAGTGAACTTTCAGACTTTCAAGGGAGTCTATCTAGAAAAATCTATTCATGAAAGTGCAGAGCTGACAGTGGGATTCCTTTGGTGGCTTTTCCAAGTGGTCTTGAGTCCCACTGTTGGCTGCTGGGTGATGGTGATTGCACTTCTTCTGTTGTTCATAGAGCACAGGAGACTGGATGGAGGGGGCCAGGAAGCATGGTCGTAGCCCTTTTAGAGGACCCTCTATAGTAGGCTCCCACCCTGATCCTTCTCTTCCACCGCTTCTAGTGTCATCATCATAATCATCATGGCCATCTAGTGACGTCCATAAGAGATGCCTTACTGAGTGCCAGCCTGTGAGTGAATGGATGTTCGGTCCTCATTGCAACTCCACAGGGTAAGAGCTCTTCCTTGTGCCCTAAGTCAGGGCCAGCACAGAGAACCTTGGAGCAGGGTGCTCTTTTTGCAGGTGAAGGATGAGGAGTTGGGATTAAGGATGGGAGGTGAGGTGGGTGTTTCTGGTAATGAGAACAGCTTGTCAGTCTGGAAAGAGGAGTGGATGTTTGGTAGGGGGAACAGGGAAAAGGGGTAGCGACCAGCTTAGCTTGTGGTTTGTCTCTGTGGCATATAAGCAGCTCCATCAGGAAGAACTTGTAGAGGCTTTGAACTTGGCAATGGGAACTAGGGACCCTAGTGAGTCTGGATTCTTACTGTGAAATGGTGGCTTTCTAGGGCGTGCTCAGGGACAGTCTTCTGCCAGCACCTTTTCCCGTGTAGCCAGCAGGAGTCCCCTCTTGTTGAGAGGTACAGGAAGGCACGTACCTGCTGTGGTAGCACAGGAGGCTGTGTGAATGCATGACTCGCTGTGCACACATGCTGTAAACAGAGAGGGTGTGAAGTTCTCGTGTGGGGGCACATGTGTTTCCAAAGGACCTGCTACATACTCAACTGCATCTCATCAGGGGAAGGTTCAAGTGTGGGTGGTGTGCTCGGGGCTGTGATGTGGGGCTGTCCCGTGTACATGGGCTGCCCTCAGCTGGTGTTAAACACTCTTTGGATTGCTCACTAGGTAAACATTCAATAATGTAATTTGGAAATTCTGTCCCCAGGGTCCCACTGTGTGGCCAGGCAGCTGGCGGGTGGTGGTGGTGGGATTAAGATATTAGTGTATTAATTCCATATCAAAGCCCAGCACCCTCGTCCATGAGAGTGTCTGCTGACAGCCCTGAGCGCCCAGAGCTTGGGGGCCCTGCAGCCCTCACTGCGTCTCTCTGAATCACAAGAAGCCTTGTGTGTGGAGCTTGCTCTGAGAGCTGCAGGGCCTCCAGACATGAGCTCATGCCTATAGGTCCCTTCAGAAAAAGGTGGGTGGCCTGCCCAACACCAGGCTTCATCCCTACCACAGGAGCCAGCTTGGAGGGAGTAGAAGCAGGTTTGGGAGTCTGAACTGGTCTTTTGACCTGGTCAAAGTAGGTTGTTATGTTGGTTGAATGACAAATGGCCAAACTCTCTTGCCAGGAACTTTCTTAAATTTTTCAATCATGTGGGTCAAATTTCATTTGCCGTTTTTATTCCTAGTGCCTAGCAGTGTGTGGTATACAGCTAGGATGCAGTTATTTTGCTTTGGATGCACAGACTAATAGCAAAGGCAGAGAGACTGGTCTAACCTCAGGAAGCCAATAAAATTAAGAACTGAATCTTGGTTCAATTCTGTCTGGTGACCCTTATGCCTGGAGACAAAAACTCACAAGCAGCTTGCAGTTCTTTTGAAATCTTCCAGCTTTCATTGTGGACTGTGTGGGCCTGCAAATGGTGGTTGGGTCTGGAAGGCTTAGAATATTGGTTTGGATCCTGGAGGGTGGTTTACCGCCTGTAGGACTGACCAGCAATGGCCAAGACCAGGGGCATGGCCGGGAGGAGGGAAAACACATGGCTCGGGTATACTGATGAGCTGTCCAAAGCCAAGGGAAGAAAAAGAGTATCCCTCAGAAAATCATTGCTGAAGTTGGAGGGAGGACTGGGCCGAGCAGAGAGAGCCTGCAACTTTGTGAATGCCACGAGGGCCTTCCTTGTGAGAGTGGGAGGCTGCCTTCTGTTCATCTGCTCAAAGTCGCTCAAAGTAGAGACGCCTGTCTGCAGCAGGCTACCTAGCATCGTCCAGTGCTGTCAGGAGTCACTGCTAGCCAGAGATGATATGGTCATGCCGGGAGTTAAGAACTTCCTTTGATGCAGTCTGCTGTGGTTTGATGAAAAATCCTAACTCGGTTTCCAGTTAGACATTTTGGGCAACGTTAGGTGATGCAGCCTTCCTGTAGGAAGTTCATTCCTGGAGGCAGATTGTATAGTTTTGCTGTACTTCTAGTTCATTCTCTCTGTTTCACGCTAGGCCCCTGAAGATGTGAGCTCAGAATTTCCTGCTTCTGCTGCCACGCCTGCTGCTGGCTGCTGTGCCTTCCTGCCATCATCAATGCCCAGCCCTCTGGAATTGTAAGGAAAATAAACTCTTTATTTTACAAGTTCCTTCTGGTCATGGTGTTTTGTCACAGCCACAGAAAAGTAACTAATACAGGGAGCTGATACTAGAGAGCAGGCGGTTATGAAGAATGTGACCGTGATGGTTTTGGGAGAAATGTAGAAGACTTTGTAGCTTTGGGTTAGAAAAGCAATTGAATAGTGTAAGCAGAGCTTAAAGGGCTGTTATAATAGGAACATGGAAGAAAGTAGTGCTGAGAGCAATGTGAAGAGAAGAGATTCACAGTAGAGGCTCATGAGGTTTTGGGGGTGGAGTGGGGGGGACAATATTAGCAACTGAGCTAGAAGCCATTCCTGTGATATTTTGGCAAAGAATCTAGCTGCTTTCTGCCCTTGTCCTGAGAACTGGCTTGGTCCTAAATTAAAAAGCAACAGACTAATTCATTTGGTGGGAGAAATTTCAAGAAAACATAATGTTGAATTTGTAGTATGATAATGTGTATCTAGGTCTGTAATGAAAAAGAGCAAGTGGGGCAAAAGAAATATAAAACATACAGCTTGAATATAAAAAGGGCACCAGAAAACTTAATGTTGCAGCCGAGATGTGTCCTGGAAGAGAGGCTGTAATTGTTGAGATTAGCTCCACGGAGGAGAGGCATGCCCATTGCTGAAGAAACAACTTACTAATGTCATCAAACATGGAGAAATTGATCTTCTGCCTAACTAGAAGCTTCACCCCATACTGACTAGCATTTATGGAGCTGGAAGGTACATTGCATGCTGCTGGGGAAGAAAAAGCAATCATCAATATCACCTAGCTACCAACCCTGTGACCTGCTTGTAATATATAGCGGTGTAACAGTGGTACAAATGTCATGGGAGTAACTAAGCATCTTCTTTTTCTTCTTCTTGGATTTACAGACCACTCTGTGAGATGGAACCTATGCATGAGTCTACTGAAGTGGTCAAGAACCTGAGACTAGATATGTCAAGGGGCTAGGGGAAAACCTACAAAAAAAAATTAAGAAGGAAGAGGAGGAACAGAAGAAAAAGAAAGAGAAGCAACAACAACAAGAGCAGTGAAGGAGAGGCCTGCTCTGCACAAAGGGAATGGTGCACCCAGGGAAAGGCCCCATTCAGCTAAGCTTCCACTTGTGAAAGAGAGCCTAAGGCATTTTATGCTCTTAGAAAGCAGCCGAATATAAGTGTCACTGCTAGCGTAATTCAGGGTGGGCGGGGTCCATCCAAAACTGTCATCCAAGCTTGTTGTTGCTGACCTTAGAGGCAAAAGGGATGCAAGAGGGCAGAGGTCGCGGATGCTTCATTCAGGATTTCAGAGAGCCATTGAAGACAGGCCATATGTGGCAGAGAAGTCCTGGTGTGAAGCCTTGAGAGGACAAAAGGCTGTGAGAGGACATTGGGTCTTTGCTGTGAAAGTGCAGCCTTGATTACTGTGAGGTCACGAGGTGTTAGACGTGCCAGAGGCATGAGACATGCCCAGGAGAGCTGCAAACAGGGAGGGAGCCATGGCAAAGGAGAGATGTATGTCTCAGGTAGCAAAGCTGGAGGGTCAGGTCTATCTAATATCTTTGAAACTGATATCCCAGGAACTGGACATAGAGCTACAGAGCTTGGTATTTGCCTTGCTGGGTTTCAGTCCTGCTTTGGGCCAATGTTTCTTCACTATGGCCTCATTCCTTCCCTTTGAAATGGAAATGTATATCCTGTGCCATTATCTATTGGAATATGTTTTACTGTTTGATTTTATGGAAAGTTGCAATTAAGAGATTGCCTTGAGCCTCAGAAGAGACTTTGGACTTAAACAGTGTTAAGACTGTGAAAGACTATGAGAAAATTTAAAGTTGGCCTAAATGAAATGGCCACAAGCCGACTGGAGCAGAATGTGTTGGTTTTAATAAAAAATGTCCACTATGGGACATTTGGCTGGTGCTGTTTGGGGGCATTTAGGTGGTATGGCCTTGCTAGAGGAAGTGTGTGACTTGGGGTGAGCTTTGAATGGCTTATTTTCACATGTCAATTTGCCCTCTCTGCTTCATGACAGTCTTGGAAGATGTGAACCCTCAGCTGCCCACTCCTGCCACCATTCCTGCTGCTATGCCTTCCTGCCATGATAAACTCTTATCCCCTTGGGCCACAGACCCAAAATAAACCCTTCATTCTTTAAGTTGCCTCTGGTTATGTGGTTTTGTCATAGCATCAGAAAAGTAACCAATGCACACTCTCACTGTGTGCCTGGTATGGAGTCAATGCTCTCTACATTTTTTCCACAAAACCCCTCTAAGAAGTGTTGAGGACCCTGGCATTGGGAGTGATATCAGACATGGTCAGCCACGACTCCATTAGCTTCTGTCTCCTTTTCTGAAGTGGTTTGTGTGCTGTGGGTCTTCCCACAATGAATCAAGAAGCTGAGAGCTTATATTGACATGTGTGGAACATCATGAAAGCTTTTTCTTGCTGCGACAGAAGCAAGGAAACTCCCTTGTCCGCTCTCCATTTTATTCAGTGGTGTTGACACTACATGAGGGACAGAATGGAAAGAACTCCCACTCTGCCCATGGGAATTCTTCATTCATCTTTTCAGAGTTAGGGCTCCTGGGAGCTACCCAGCCCGAGACTTGCCCATAGATAGCCACAGATCAAGTTAGTTGACAGAGTTAAATTAAGAAATCCCTTGTCAGCCCTTCTCCCTCCACTAAGCTTGGCTCAGATTAACCCAGGGTAGCAGTACTAAGCTCATCCTTCAACAAGCACACTCCAGCCAACTCAGTTCAACTTCAGCGAGCAAGAGGAGCTGAAGTCAACCCAGTCCAACCCATCTGCTTAGCTCTAAGCATGAGCTGAGAGGAAAGGAATCGGGAGCACCTCCTCATGGGTAGTGTGTCAGCCTGCTGGAAGAGCATCAAGCAGAAAGCACCAAACTGACATGGACTGGGGGTTTTGTGGACACTGACTACCTTGATGTCACTCTGGGCTGGGGGCCATCCTGGTCTTTGTGTGTGTTGAGCTGATGCCCTGAGTTTCTAGAAAAACTCCATTCCAGAGGGAAGAGGATCTTGGAGCTCTGCTAGAGAAATCTGGAGCAGTAGCAGGGGCTTCCGATGAGACTCCAAAGCCTCTTGGGAGGATGCTGGGAGGCTCAGCTGCAGCTGCTTTTTATACAGGCTGTCCAGGCCAGGGGTAACCTCAGAGGTTTCTCATAATGTAACAGGGTCTGGAAACCAAGGGGCTGTAAAAATTAAGGAAACATGTGCCTGAGAGTGAGCTGAGTCTCATTTTGTTACCTATTTACCTGGGGCAGGGCACATTCTTGGCCCCAATCTCCAGGCCTGGTAAGTTGAGCTTTTCTGTGTTACCATGAATGACTAAGGAAGTCGCTTGAACTTGGCCTACACAGTGATAGCACAAGCAGTGGTAACCTACTCATTCCCAGTGATGAGTGGGAATTGGGCCAGAACCCAGCCCCACAGGTTGATCTATCCATTAGGTCCCCACCTTGAGCATTAGCATCTTAAAGGGATGGCATCCAGAATTGATGTCTTTGTTCTGATAAGACAGTAGAGGACACTTATCCAGGGCCCCAGCATTTACTGTGACTGACTGCCTCCCACCCTGGGTGTCCCAGGAAGAGAGAAATTATGTTTTCCCTATTTTGGCTATCACAGGTGTTCCCAGAACATTGTTGAGACCTTCGTCTCTGATGGTCTAGAATCTCCAGTCATCCTGGCTAGGAGCCTCAGGGTCAAGTAAAGGCAAAAGGAAAAGTAAAGGCTGAAGATAGTATCTTGATCTACCCCGGGGTGAAGGCCAGATTGGCTCTGAGCTTCAGTCTCTGCAGGGCCTAGTAAGCCCCTCACCCTTCCTGCTGCCATGGGAACCCACAAGCCCAGCTTGTGATAAATATGCATGAGCAGGCCATGGTCATGGCCCCTCCTCAAGTCCATTTGGGGCACCTCAGTGAGCTAATTGAGGGTGGCCATTGTCCCTGTGCTCCCAGCGCCTGGGCCCCTATTTCCACGTTCAAGTGCCTGGCCTCCGTTTAAAGTGGTCAAGTGGCGGGTGCTATTTTACTCAACAAAAGCCCCTTGAGAAGATGGACAGAGAACTCTTCAGGCCAGCCCATTGCCTGTGCCTGTTCCTATCCCAGGCCAGGGGGAGGGGACCACATAGACCACCTGATCACAATTGAGGCCCAGGCAGCCGGCAAGCACAATGGATGCTCAAGAGGTCCCTGCAGCAGTTGGGATGAATAGCAGAGCTGCTTTCCCTTCAGCCCCCCATTACAACCTGGTATAATTTCCCCCTGAATAGGGGTGGCACAGGGTGGGCTCTCCAGGAGGAGAAGGGGGAAGAAATAAAGCCAGAGGCTCTTTGAAACCCACCCATAAGGCCTTGCTCTCCCCACCCCCATGCACTCTGTATGATGACGGAATGAAAGGCCTCCATGAAGGGTAGGAGACCCAAAGGACCACAAGCTAGAGGTAGAATATTAGTAGGACATGGGGAATCTCGTTCCCATCTACAGTTCCTTCCAGTGAAGGTACACCATGGGGACACTTGGCTAACAAAGAAGAAGAGTATAACAAGACCTTCCCTTCCCCTCCACGGTGGCCTCCTTCCAACATAAGGACTGATAATTGTTCTGTGGAGGTCAACCCTGTACTGTAGAGGCTGAAGGCAGGAAGGCACAATGGCCCCTCTCACTTCGTGTCCCCATCAGAGCAAATATTTCCACTTTACCCGCCTTACCAGCCCACAGGACAGGGAATGTCCTGTGTAGTATGGAGACACAGTTCCGAGAACAGGACCCACTCAGCCAAGAGTAAGCATTATGGCAGCAGGGGCAAAATGAGAGGCTGTGGCCTCTGAGGCCCTTGTCTGATGTTATCTTCTGTCCCAGGCCCTGAGGGGTACCCACCCAACCACCTCTCATGGAATGACAAGAGGAGTAGCAGAGAGAGACAAATGGGTGATCAGGAGGCAGTGGCTTGGAGGTAATGGACATTGTGGGCATGGCGTTTCCAGTTTTGGGTGTAGGAAAAATGGGAGAGTTTGTCTGACGATAGAGTAGCTGAGGGCTGGTGTGAAAGGCTGTCTGATGGCACGGCCAGGCATCTTCCCTCTCTGATGCCCGCAGCCCATGTATTCCTTCCTTCATCCAGCTCCTGAGCCAAGTCTTCCACAGAGCACTTGCCATAGACACTCATTGGCACCCTGCTCCTGAGGGATTCGCAGTCCAGGGGTGGGCAATGCCTACCTTCGTCATAAGAGGAGAGGCATGTTTCAGGAGGGGTGCTCTAGGTAGCTCTAGAGCATGGCATGCCTAGAGTGAGAAGGGTAGGAAGCAGCGCTGTTTCGAAGGTGTACGTGGCTGGAACATAGGCTGCGCGGGAAAGTAACGAGAGCTGAGGTGGGAGGTTCCTTCAGTTCAGGATGTAGACAGTCTTGCTAACCTTAATCTTGATTCCAGAGCAGAAGGCGTAGAGCAGGGACACGCCCCACGTTGCAGTGTGCTTTGAAGATGTCTCAGGCTTCAGAGTGGGCTGCTGTTGAAACTCATGTGAGCGTATGGATTTTGAGATGTTTAAGAGGAAGACCCGGTGACAGAAAGAAGACCTGGTGACAGATGGGATGGGATGGTATTGAGAAAGAGAAAGGAAATGACAATCGTCACTGTGAGATTCAGTGGCTCTGGCCACCCTCTGCAGAATCCTGCTGAGTGCCTGAATACTGTCCCTGGGCCTCTCAGCTTGAGTTCCTGGTGTCACTTACACTGAACAAACTCTGTCTCGTCTGACCCCCAAAGCTTTAGAGGGGACACCAGGAGTTTGCCTGGCGTTCTCATACCTTGGCTGAGATTGAGATGAAGCTTGAAGGCTGTAGTTGGGACACTTGGTCTTTATGTCCCTCTGTCCACTGAGGGATGCAGGTGGGGCAGGGCACTGGGGAGATGGCAGATGTCTTCATGATTGCAGAGACAGCAGACCCCAGGCACAGAGCTCTCATGGCATAGAACAGAGAGATGGATCCCAGTCAGAGGCCACAACATCAGCTTAAGTAGCATGCTCATTGCTGGGGGGAGGAGGGACAGGTAGAGAGACCCATGTGTGCCCTTGTAAAGATTTTCTAGATTCATTTTAGCCACCAGAGTAAAGAGAAGAAGCCAGAGGAGGGAGGAAGGCTGGGAAAGGCAAGCACAGCACTGCCTCCAGCTTGGCCAACTCTGCTGTCACCTGTGAGATCTACCTGTCCCCCGACCCCAACGAGAAGCTCTGGACTGCTGGGGTTAAGAGTAGGCTGTCTTTCTCCATAAGACATGTGCTCCTTCAAAGGCCGTGTTCCTCCCACCCTCCACTTCCCCAGCCCACATTTTCCTTCTGCTGCTCACTCAGCAGGGACTGGTGGCTTCACTCCTGAGGTCTCTGGACCCTTTGCCACTCTTAATGACCCTGCTATGGGAATCTTAATGTGTCTTTCATTCCTGAATCTGTCTGTTCATCCATCCAAGTTCCTATCATTCTCCTATACTGGTATTTACTCAGATACTTTGGATGGTGGAGGGTTAGAATATACAGGTACTGGAAAAAGATCATCCTGAGTGAGGTATCCCAGAAGCAGAAAGACACACAGGGTATATACTCACTCATAAGTGGATATTAGACATATAATATAGGATAAACATACTAAAATTTGTACACCCAAAGAAGCTAATCAAGAAGGAGGACCCTGGGTAAGATGCTCAATCCTTATTCAGAAAGGCAAAGAGGATAGACGTCAGAAGAGGGAGAAAACAAGGAACAGGACAGGAGCTTACCACAGAGGGCCTCTGAAAGACTCTACCCTGCAGGGTATCAAAGCAGATGCTGAGACTTGTAGCCAAACTTTGGGCAAAGTGTAAGGAATCTTATGAAAGAAGGGGGAGATAGTAAGACCTGGAGAAGACAGGAGCTCCATAAAGAAAGCAACAGAACCAAAAAATTTGGACACAGGGGTCTTTTCTGAGACTGCTCCTCCAACCAGGGACCATTCATGGAGATAACCTAGAACCCCTGCACAGATGTAGCCCATGGCAGTTCAGTGTCTAATTGGGTTCCCTAGTAAAGGGAACAGAGACTGTCTCTGAC